ACTGCCACCTACTGGACTAGAGTGTGTAGTGTCATGGTATGACCAGTGACTCCTTTATTGTTTAATTTATTTTTTTTCACTTCAACCAATGGGAATCGTCGCTCATTTGTATTGATTTTTAATGAATTCACGATGCGTCGTTACTGAATGACACGTTCAAGTCTTTTAACGTTTCTTACCGAGTGGGTCAGAGGGCGTGCCCTTAAAGATGAGTCGATACGTGGTGAGGAAGATGGCCCCCTCGGCGGGCAGCAGGGGAGGACCTCCCATCAGCCCCGTGGCCTCCTCGCGGCCGTCGGGGACCAGGTGGACCCTCATGCCGTCCATCACCAGCTCCTCTCCCAACAACAGAGTCGGCCTCAGCAGTTTGGGCTGCAGGAAAACACGGAGGGTTTTTGATCATCCAGTAACAGAGAAGAAGACGCTGAAGGATCCACTGGTCAGAACCTCCCACAGCAGTCAGTGACCACAGGGTCTGATCCTTACATGCTCAGGACACGTGCACAGCAACACGTGCATGTTAGAGAGGGAGCTGCTGTTTTTAAAACAAGACACGTTTACTGTGTGAAGCAGTGCAGTGAGAAACTATTAAAGACGGAGGAAGTGTTTGTTTGGGACAGAACAGAGAACCTGGAGGAACCTGGAGGAACCTGGAGGAACCTGGAAGAACCTGCAAGAACCTGGAGGAACCTGGTTCTTTTTTCTATAGACGTCAAACTGGCAAGAATCTGGTGATATGATACAGGGGCAAAGATACGATATATTGTGATACACTGTGATACTATAGTCACTGTGATATATTGAAATTATTCCCCCCCCCCCCTCCCAGTGTAGCTGTAGTCCCAGTGTGATCCTAGTCTCAGACTCTGCCCCCCCCCAGTGCACGAACACGAACATGAACCAACACCAGGAAGATTGGACTAAAATCAATAACTGATCAATGACTGAGGACATTGATCTGGGATCAGGAGAGGAAATATCAGGATATTAAAATGTATCGTTTTTTTCTTACAGCCCTAATTTTAAGGCTACACTTTATACAAAGTCTACGATGAGGACGTTGATCTAAATTCTTTCCTCAAAACAACTAAGTTAATAAGTTAATAAGTTAATAAGGACTAATCAGTCATTGTGGTTTAAACAGTGTATTTTGTTAGTGTGTGTTACAGGTCAGTAACTAATGGTCAGTGGAATGACCACGTGTTCTGTCAAACTCCGTCTCTGCAGGACGTACGTCACCCTTCACAGAGAAGGCACTCGGGGTCTTCAGAGGTCAGAGGTCAGAGGTGAACCCACTGAGTCCCCCAGACCCAACAGCACAACAAGGGAGAGAAATCACCCAGCATGCACTGCTCAGCCTGTGGAGGAGCGACGTACCTGCCCTGGAGCTGTGACCCTGAGCTGTAAGGATCAGTGGACGGGGAGTGGGCGGGGCATGGCGGGGCATGGCGGGGCATGGCGGGGCATGGCGGGGCGGGCGCTGGGGGGCCGGGGCAGGGGGCATGGGGGGGGGGGGGA